TAGCGTGCTCTGTTGCTTCAGTCGTGTCTGACTCTGACCCTATAGACTGCGGCCTGCCAGTTTTCTCTGTCCATGGGATTCCCCAGGCAAGAATGCTGGAGTGGGTTGCCATTTCCTTTTTCCAGGGGATTTTCCTGACCCAGGGATTAAACCCGCGTCTCCTACATTGCAGGCAGAGCCTTTACCTGCTGAGCCATCGAGAAAGCCTGCAGTAGATCTCAGATATCATTCCAGCACCTTCCTTGGGCCCAGCAATGTGATTGACTGCTAGAAAGTCGGAATTTGAACTCAAAGACCAGTGCCCACCTCAAATCTGCTAGCTATTCCCTCCAAGCTGGCTCTGCTGACCCCTAGAATCTAAAACATGGGGTTAATCCCTGGGATTAGTCTTTTCCTCATCAGAAAAGTGAAGAGAGACACACCTCTTCCACAGGTGGTTGGGAGGGTCCAGTGGGCTCAGAAGTGTGCCATCTTTGTAAAGTTCACACACAGGCCTGGAAGCCAATGCTTGTGATTCCCCAGTCACAGTCACCCAAAGCTCTAGTGAAAACATCAGCTCTGCACACAGGTTGAGAAAGCGAATTTCATCACCATTCACAGTAGGTGTTTTCTTAACTGACCCTGATGTAAATGGCCCGTGGAGTTCATGGGTACTTCTGGGGTAATATGCTGCTGCTGCAATCGTGTCTGACTCTGTGCGATCCCATAGATGGCAGCCCACCGGGCTCCTGCGTCCCTGGGATTCTCCAGGCAAGAGTACTGGAGTGGGTTGCCATTGCCTTCTCTGGGGTAACATACCAAGGAATATAGGACTGGCTGGCAGGTCCCTCACTGGGACCCTCACCTTCTGGCCTCACCAGCCCGCTGAGCTGTCAACGTGCCAAACATCTGTTGGCTTTGTTCCCAAACCCATTCATTCCATTGGGTTTCCATGGTTACAGAGCTCCTAGGGCTACCATGCCAGCTTTGGGCTACTTTGCCTTCAGCTCTATCTACTCCCTCTCCTGTTTGGCTGTATAATGCAGAGGTCTGGTTCCACTGAGTCAGCCTGCCCCAGCTCCATTCAGCCATCGGGAGGCACCGGGAGGAGATGGAGGATGGGAGGAAGGGAGAAGCTTCTTTCCTCCTTGTCTCAGGGGGCCTCTCTGCAGCGGCTGAGTCTCCTCTGTGGCTCCAGAGCGAGACGGGCCTGCGATGCTCCTGCTTCCACGAGGGGCCCAGGTGACCCCACTCCTTCTGTCCCTCCTGTGTCAGTGGCTTCTTGCCATTGGGGCTCCTCCCCACCTCTGTTTGTCTTCTCAGCTCTTCCATCGCCTGGGTTTCCAATAATCCCTGAACCAACGTCCTTCCCTCGGTTTCCATCACTCTAAGGGGCTTCTGTTTTCATCATTGGACCCTCACTGGCAGTGACGTGATGTTACGGGTGGTGTGAGGCAAAGCGGAGGTGTCTGTTTCTATGAAAACTTGCCAAGGTTGAATACCTTGGAAAGATTCAGTGAAGGCAAGCTGCTAAAAAATAAACTGAATTAAGTGTGGGTGAAACATCGTGAAAGATTGGGCAAAAGGGTCAGCACTGCTACCGGGTGCTAATTGCTTCATAAGCCTCTTTACAATTGTATTGCACATTAAAGAGGACAAACCTGGACATCGTAGCAGACTCCTTCTGGGTTGATTTAAGACAGAAGAACAAGAGGGAGGCCATTTGGTACACATTGATAAACATAAAAAAGGAGCATCACTGTTTTTTTCCAATGAGTTCCTTCTTCAACCAAAACTTTGGATTAACCTGATCTAAATGGTTCAGAGGCGTCTATGGTATTGGATATTTTTTTTCCAGTGGAGAGCAAAAGGACACTCGACTGCTCACTACACCCCGAGAGGGTGCATGGTCAGAAGTGGCAGCAAGAGGAGTCCTGGGAACTGGGCACCTACCGCGCGCCGGGCATGTTCACGGTGTTTTTCATTTAATCCTCTGCAATTGTAAGTAGGTCCCGTCTCACGGGCGAGGAAGCAGGCTCAAAGGAAAAAGCCTTTTGCCCGTGATCTCACAGCTCATGAGGACTAAAGGCAGGCTTCAGGAAGGTTCTTCCCGGGCCGCCTTCAGAGGTTCGTCCAAGTCTGGTCCACGCTTCTGGAAGGGCGCGCGGAGATTATAAGCCTCTTGAGGGAGAAACCCAGTTTGTCACCCCGCAGGCCTTTGCTGCGTGGTCCCAGGAAGGCAACAAGCCACGCGCCTCACAGATGTAGCCCCGCGGGCCTCCCCTCCCTGGGCCTGAACGCAGCTTCCCAGGGAGGGGGAGTCCCTCAGAGTGACCAAATTATAGGTGTTACGGGGGAGCCCACTCTTATGTGTGGAAAAAACAGCCAAGTGCGTAGGGTGGTACGTTAGAAACTCGAGGCGGCATCGGCAGAGTGGAAACAGCTCCTGGGCTGGGAAGCAAGGGGCCCGGGTTCCACTGACTCACTGGTGAGTTCAGAGTGTGTCTCTGCCCCTCTGGGGGCCTCAGTTTCCATTCTGTTAAAGGGGTGTCTTTCCAGTTGTTTTCCTCTCTGATCGGTTTCACAACATGGCAGACTTCAAAACAGTCCAAATTTAGCCAGGAGGGCCGAGGCCCCTTGGCGGGCTGTGCCACTGACCCACCCCCATCCCCACCCCGCCAGCCCTGCCCAGGCCGGACCAGCCAGTGAGTTTCCAGCAGGGGCAGTCTATCCTCCTATGTGACCGTGATGCCTCTTTTCCTGCACTTACTCATAACAGAGCCCGAATTACATCACCCAGACTCAAGCAAGGAAACCAGCCTTCACGGTGTCCTCACCTAGTTGCCTGTCCTCGGAGAATTGTGTTATCCCCATTCTACAGGAAAGGAAACTGAGGCCCAGAGTAGGGCAGTGACTTGGCTCCACGGCGTTGCAGCTGGGGTTCAGCAGAGCTGGACTAGAAGTTGAATCTGACCTCAGAGCCCTGTGCCTTTCACTTAAACCTGCTTCCTCCCTGGAGAAGTTAGAACCCCCACCCCCACCCCCACCCACTTGCCACTAGGGAACAGAAGACTGAGTCTCCAGGAGGACGCAGGTGAGACACAGACAGCAAATTTCCAAGGGCGTCCTGCTCCCAGGTGACCCAGTGAGGCGGTGAGCAGAAGCAAGTCTCCCCGGGACCTGGGACAAGCTCCTCCTCCCGCGGATGCCCCTTCTTCCCTGTGTTAGCCTACAGAGATGACAGGGCCTGGGCCCAAGCTTGGGCTCCCTGGGAGAGGCCAGGTGGTGGGGCCCAGACAGCAGAGGGCTCTTGGGAGCCTCAGGGTTTGGCTTAGAGGACGCTACAGAACCCCGGGGTGTCGTGGCTGAGGCCCAGCCTGATGAGCCAGAGGCTGACATTCCAATTCCACTCAGGGTACTGTGTGGCCTTGAACGAGCTGACTTCAATGCCTCGGGCCTCAGTGGTCTGGCCCATGAAATGGGAGAGTAGTAGAGCTTTCCAGGGAAATGGTGAAGCTTCCACCCTCCCCCCAAAGCCTGACCTGGCTTCTGGGAAAACACGGAAGTGTGAAGTTGAATCATCCTCCTTGTCTTTTCTACTTCTGAGTCCCTCTGGGAGTTGAAGGATTCAAAGAAGAGGGCTGACGAAGGGCACTGGGAGCCGGCAGGGTGGGGGCGGGTATGGAGGCGGGAGGGTTGGAGGCAGTGGGGACCAGAGAGCCAGAGGAAAGGCCCAGAGGCAGGCAAGTCCAGGCACTCGAGGCTGGAACAGAACCCCATAGAGACACACAGGTGGGCAAAGAGAGCAAAGAGCGCTGAATGACTGGGTGCGGGCCTCAGACCCAAGCTCTGCACAAGGCCCCTTGGCAAGGCCGTGCCCCTGGCTTTCCCCAGCGAGCCCTTTCTGGAGGCCCACGGGCTCCGGCGTGAGCACTGGTGACGTCCCTTCATGTGTTTCCCTTGGTGCCTGCTCCCAACTCCCATAAAAATCTCCCTGAAGCACCACCCAGACACACGTGTGGACACCTCTCTGGGACTGAATTGGTTGACGATGGCCGGGTGACAGCCACCCACACAGCCCAGATGGGGGGCCCTGGAGGGATCCGGGCTCCTGGGGCTCCCTGCTACCCGGGCCCACACTGGCCTTCATTAAAAAGGAGTCTCCCACAGGATCCAAACCACCGCCCGGCCACTCCCGCTCCAGCCGCTTTCAGTTCTGCTTTTGGGCCGCGTGCTGAGGCCAGCCCCACAAATAAAAGCCATCCCTTTTCTCTCTCTCTCTCTCTCTCTTTTTTTCTAAAAAGGGAGCGAGGCAGCCACAAGATCTTCTAAGAGGCTCTGACATCACGGCCCAGGTGACTGCCGCCCAGCCAATGAGCCAAGGCCGCGAGCTGGCTTCTTGCATCCTGTGAGCTGAGGTTGGGTTGACACCGTGAAGGCCTGGTCCCTCAACCACAGAACCACAAGGCCAGGCCCTCGGCCGCCTTCGGGGGGCCCTGCGCCGGAGCTGGTTGGCTCCCGGTCCTCCCACCCCCGGCCGCCCTCGCACCCACTGAGCTGAGCTCTGACGGGGGCGAGCCTCATTCATTCATTCCCGAGGCGCTTGGGGCAGGGCTGTTCCTGCTCTCACCGCCCCGCGACTCCTGCCCTGGCTGCTGAAGGCCCCTTCCCGCCATCTAATGATACACTCTGCATACGCTTCTGTTGAAAATTTGTGGCGAGACATTCCTGTGGGACCGGGAATCCAAATTCTTGGGTACAAACAGAAACTTACTTTCCTTGGGGATTTTTTTCCTCTCTCCCTCACACACACACTCTCGCGTTCTTTCCTTTTTTCTTTTTCGTAACAGTAGGTGGGGGTGGGGGGGGAAAGAGGCAAAACGAAAAAAATACAAACAAAAAGCAACCCCCCCCTCCACTTTATTTTCAAAAGTAGCTAGGAAAAAATAAAACAACAGCCAACCAATCCATCCCAACCCAACCCCAGAAGGGCTGAAACCTCGCCTTCCTCAGAGTGGGGCATGGCATCGAACAGCATCTTCGATTCCTTCCCGACCTACTCGCAGACCTTCATCCGCGGTAAGTAATGAGCGCCCTTTCGGGTGGGGAGCTGGGACCAGGCCCCGGACCGCGACCCTCCACCGCCCGCCCTGGCTGCCTTCAGGGGCCCGGGGTTGGCTACCTAAATCGGCTAGCTTCTGAAAGCCAGAGGTGGGAACTGGGCTTGGTGGCCTCCGTGGTCTCCTGGAGTGGGACATCTTTGTGGACTTTTATCCTCAGCTGGTGGGGACCGTTCCTGGTGGGGACCGTTCCTGGTGGAGGTCATGGATACCACAAGACCTCAAAACCTCAAAGATCAGAGCTCTGAGGGTCTTGAGATGGAGAGGCCACGGGGGTGTCCCTGTGACCCCACGGGTGTGATTCCTGCCTCCCCTGTGGGGCTCCGGGGCCCTGCACCCCTAGCCCCTGGCCCTCCTGGGGTGCTTAGACCCTCTACCTGTGCTCACATAGATGCTCAGATCCTCCCTTTCCCCAGGGCCCCGGCCGCCTTCTGCCCAGGGCCCCAGAGCAGGCAGGGGGCAAGGGTTACATTGGCAGACTCAGAGACCTTCCCAAGGACCTTCCCCTAACTCTGCATTTTCCGAGGAACCCCTGGGACTAGGGAAGCAGAGGGAGGAAGGGGTCCAGGCTTTTGTTGGAATTCATGCAACTCTGGGTGGCCCTGAGCCTGGATCAGAGTGCGGGGAGCAGGCCTCGGGAAGGTTTGTGAATTTGGTCACAGGGAGAAATCAGTTGTTTCTGTCTATGGCCTAGAGGGACCCGGAGGTCTAAGTTTTGTCCCTCAAAAAGTGTTTAGTTCCCAGATCCCCCGCTGGGAACCTCTGATTGAGGCTAGAACTCAGGGGGAGACTTTTCCTATCTGTCTGGCCCTCCGAGGTGACGTGCCTGGGCCTTGTTGCCTTCCCCCCAAGTAGCGGGAGCCCAGATGGGGCTGTGGCACCTGAGATCGGGGGTCAAGAGACCCTGAGGCTACCCTGCTGGGCAGCCTTAGACAAGTTACTTAACCTCTCTGTGCCTCAAATGAAGGCCCCTCTGGCTGTGCATTCTGATTGCCTGAGGCTGGGAATGGCCTGTGTGTGAGGGCAGCGCCTGGGGGTTGTACACGGGGCCGACTTCTCCTCTGGAACAGAGGGATGGAGTGGACTGCAGAACTCCAGGGCTTGGGGGCCTGGCACTGCCTTTGCTCTGCTGAGGTGGTCAGCTGAGATGCAGTAGCCGGTCTGACTGTTCATCTGCCCATCTGCCTGTCCCGCTGTGGACTGACTCTGAGCCAGTCCCTGGGCAGCCAGCTCTGTGCAGGGACCGAGGCACATTTGGGTACTTATTGTTCAAAGGCTTCTGCACAGGCTTGTCTGAGGGCTGGACCTGCTCCTCCTCCCTGGAGAGGGGCTGAGGCAGGCTGTGTGGCTGCAGATGGGGCGCTGAGTGGGGGAGAGGAGGGTTGTGGGGGGGCTGCCGTCTCCGTGGCGGGGGCACACCCGTCAAACCTGCTGGTGGCCGGTGACCAGCAATAGCTCTGGGTCTGGGAGCCGAGTGCTGTGGGTTCCTTCCTTCCAACAGCTCCTAGTATAACGCTGCTCCCTTTGTGGTCCTCCAAGCTAATTAAAGGCAGTGCTGTGGCAAGAAGACAGGAGTTTATAAAAACCATTTGCTGGGTCTTTGTAATCTGTACTTCTCCCTTCATGAGCAAGATGGAGAAACGTTGAGCTTGAAACAAAGGGAATTTAGGAGCCGGGACTAAAGGGCCACCCACCTAGGGTGGGCTCCTGAGAGATGGTAGAGGTGACCCGGAGGGAGAGGGAGGGGACAGCTGGTGGCTTTGGGCTGGCTGTGTGCGCAGAGATGGGAGGCTGCCGGGCAGAGCGCGCTGATCCCTGGGGAGTGATCTGGTAAGCCAGGGTGTGTGTGGGGGGGTGTTCAGTCTGCTGTCTGAAGCTTTCCCTGAAGTTCCGAGTCCTGTCCACACAATCTGGCCTCACTCTCCTGCCCGGTTCTATCCCTCCCACTTCCCACTCACTTGAACAGATCTGCCTCCCAGATTCTGTCTCTGAAGGTTTCCCAACTCTGTCCCCAGAGAGATCCAACCCCGGGGTCCTGCCACTCTCACCTCATGCTAATCCACGCAAGGTCCTTAACCTGCCTGGAGCTGGGGATCTTTGCGGACTCGCAGGAAGATTATGGACTCCTCAGAATCGCATTTTTAAATGCATAAAACAAAATACAAAGAACTATGAAAAAAAAACCCTCAAATCTATAGAAACGCTGTCTTTAAACTATAAGAAAAAGCCGGTGTGTGACACTGTGACCATGGGCCTCTCAGTGGAGACGGTAAGGGCTGTGATGCGACAGGAATGGGCGTACACAGAATTTCAGGAGAATCGTGACAGCTCTAAGGAGACTGAAGGATGTCCGACAAAGTCACCCGTGGAAAAAAGATGCTAAACTTTAGCTAGAGGTCAGTGAAAGGAAAGACGTCATGTGTTTCCTGCCTGAGTCCATGGAGTCCCTGAATTCAGGCCTACGGTCCTAGTTCCTTAGCTGGAAGTGGTAGAGCAAGCAGGTCTCAGGGCATCACCACCTCTTGAGAGGTTTTTCAAGTTGGGTTCCAGATTCCAGAACTCCTCTCAGTTCTCTGTGATGAAGAGGTTTGGGGAGAAGCTGGCGTGCGTGCATGTGTGCCGGCCAGGCTGCTCTACCCATGGGATCCTCCAGGCAAGGATACTGGCGTGGGTTGCCATTTCCTCCTCCAGGAGATCTTCCTGACCCAGGGATCTGACCTGGGTCTCCTGTGTTCCCTGCAGGGGCAGGCAGATTCTTTACCACTGAGCGACCTGGAAGGATGGGGAGAGCGTGGAGAGGCATTTGATCCCCACCTGAATTAGAGGGTGAGGAGCAGATGACAGGAGGTGATGCTTACCCCACAGAGCCGGCAGACCGACGGCAGCATTCCAGACAGAGAGCGGGAAGAGGGCTCCTGGAGTGCGATTCTCCACCTTCTCCCATCACTTCTCCCGAGGATCTCCCAGGCAGGAGAAGGGGTATGAATCCTCTCTCAGACAAATGGGGAAGCTGAGGTCTAAGAATGCACTGCATTCTTAGTGGGGGCCTTGGGGTCCCCACCGGACAAATGGGACTATGGCCTGGGAATGCCCGAGGGCCTGTCCACAGCCCTTGGAGGGCCAGCACCTTCATTCTGGATCTGCCCACGAGGCCTATCTCTGCACCCCCTGGGGTATCCTCTTGCAGCAGGGCCCCCTTCACAGCACCCCCAAAATGCACCCTCCCCAGGACACTCAGGGAGGGCACCCCTCCAGGGAGAGAACTGGAGGAAATGGGTCTAAACTGCCACGTGCAGGAATCACAGGGAGATAAAGGATTTCCCTGACTCAGTAATTCCACATAAGCTCATCAAGGAGGAGATATGAGATTCAAGCTGGCTTCTGGAATCAGAGCTCCAGGCTCAAGTCCTGCCTCTGTCCTTCAGAGTGTCGTAGCTCGGGTCAAGTTGCTTCACCTCTCTGTGCCTGTTTCCCCATCTGTAAAATGGGAGCGATGGTTACACCAACCTCATGGGCTCTGGAGAGAATTAAACAAGCAGGGTACTGGCACAGAGTTAGCGCTTGCTAAACGTCTTCATTTTTCGAATTATCTTGAGCCTGGCCTTGTGCCGGGAGCTCAGCTGCAAGGGTGACTAGGCCAGGCTCTCTACCCTTGAAGAAGTCACGGTCTGGTGTAGAAAGAGATGGGTGAACTGAAAATTGCACCGGGTTGGGATAAATGTTAGAAGGGACTAAAAACAAGAGGGCTGGGGGATCAGAGAGGGTGACTGGCCAGACAGCTCTCCTGGAGCTGGGCCTTGCAGGGTGAGGAAGTGATCAACGGGGAAAGGATGTCCTAGGCAGGGGGCAAGGTGGAGAAGCAGGAAAGGCTGTGATGATGCTGGGCGCCTCCTGCGGTGGCTGGGGGGCGCCATGTGGGGTGAGGTACTGGAAGGGGACTAGGATGGGCCTGTCTGGCTGGGGTTCTCTGAGCAGTGGTGGGCAGCTGGCCAGCAGCTCTGCCCCTGAAGACACCTGGAAGGAATGGGAAACCGCCTCTCAGGTGCGAGGCAGGCCTGTGCAGAGGCAGGGGGTGGACAGAATGGCCCTGGGCAGAGTCTGACTCAGAGGTTACCAGACAGTGGGGCAGCCGCTCGGACCAGAGAGGCCACTCACTATGTCCTTTGCTCAGCTCTAGGCAGTGGGCAAACAACAGGGGACCCTCCCAAGTCCTGGGCACCCCACGATGGTTGGTCACCCCGAGCAGCGTGCCCTTGGCGGCTTCCCCTCCCCGCACAGCCCCAGGAGATGAAGGGACTGACCGCCAGCCACCCACACCCACTCTGGCGCTTGCCTGGCGCCACCTCTGCGGAGCCCCTTTGACGGCGGCTTCTGAGGCCGCCCTGCACACGCCCGTCTCCCCAGACCACCCTGCCTGTCCAAAATACCCCCCAGGCAGGAAGGGCATTCCTGGGAGTCCCCCCACTGGCCACAGGGTCTGGGCGGGCATGAGGCGGCCCCACACAGTGGGACTGTGTGTCCAGGCCTCACCCGTGCCCACGACGGCGGCCGGCGGCCCCCAGCGGCCCCGCTGGTCACATAGAGAGCCCATTGACACCCTGGCCTGGAGGTGGCCGCATCAAAGCTGAGGCCTCCTCGGCTACCCGGGGGGTGGGGGGGGAGCCCTCAGGGGAGATGGGGGCCAGGAGTCGGATGCCCCCAAGCAACAGGGCCTGACCTTCCAGAAGGCTCTGAGAGCAGGAAGGCAGTGGCACCCCCCCACCCACCCCACCCCATCCTCACCTGGGAGCCAGTCTGGATGCCTTCATCGGCGGGGAGACTGGAGTCCGAGCTAAGGGTTCAGTGGGTCAGAAGGATGCTGGTCCTCCGGCCGTCTCCTGGGGATGCCTCATCTACAGACCCTTCCTCAAACCCACCAAGCAGTGGGTGCCCTACTGGCAGCTAAGGAACCTCACCCAG